CCCCCCCCCCCCCCCCTGGCAGGGCCTCAAGGACCACCAAGGTCTGTTGTAATAAGCAGTAGTGCAAGAGTTGTAGGTCACTTGCTTGTATTTGAATGGAATACTACAACATTGACCTGTATGTACTATCATCATTAAAGATGTAATATCATTAAACATGCTTTATAGCTAAGTCAATTTATACTCACGGCAGTTGCCCCATCTTCCCTTATACACAGGATCCAAGGAGCACCAGGGTCTGTTATGATTGGCAGAAGTGCAAGAACTGTAAGTCACTCCACTGTATTCGAATGGAATACTGCAACATTTGCCTGATGTTGTCTTCTGAGGGCAAACAGTTGGTAACGTTGTGGTTACTGCGGCTAGTAAAGAAAAGACAATGCTCTTGATATTATGATAATGTAACTTTGAAACACAGAGTTAAGGTTCGGCTTTAGTTAAGTAAATTTAAAACTCACGGCAGTTGCCTCATCTTCCCTTATACACAGGATCCAAGGAGCACCATGGTCTGTTGTGATTGGCTGAAGTGCAAGAATTGTAGGTCGCTCCACTGTATTTGAACGGAATACTGCAACATTTGCCTGATGTTGTCTTCTGAGGGCAAACAGTTGGTGACGTTGTGGTGACTGGTAACGCTATCAAAGAGAAGACAATGCTCTTAATGGAATAATCACTCGCAGTAACCAAAGGTTAGGAAGTGCGGGCGAACATGTATGCACCTTTACCTTAAAAGTGCAATTGTTGTTATTGAGAACCGCTTTCATAATTGTGTGGGTGAATTAGAGAAATTATTCTTAGGCAAAGGTACAATTAAAACAGTAATGCGTGACATAAACAACGTGGAATGTATATATACAGTCATGACTTTTTGAAGTCTTAGTACTCAATCGGATAGTCAATTCGTGTAACAATAACAATATTACTTGAAATACACACTAAAAATGATTTAGCTTAGTCAATTTAAAACTCACGACAGTTGCCCCATCTTCCCTTGTACACAGGATCCAAGGAGCACCAGGGTCCGTTATGGTTAGCAGAAGTGCAAGAATTGTAGGTCACTCCTCTGTACGTGAATGGAATACTGCAACATTTGCCTGATGTTGTCTTCTGAGGGCAAACAGTTGGTGACGATGTAGTGGCTAGTAACGCCATTATTAAAAAGAAGACAAATGAATGCTCTTGTTATAATGGTATCACTTTGAATAGCACTTGGGATGGTATAGCTACACTGTAAGTCATGCAGAAGCGATGAAATATTAGTAACACAAAACTTCACTGACTCAAGAGATATATATATTGTTTGCAGCTAACGTCACGGTTGCCAAATTGGTTGGCAAAAACACAAGAGGTCCCTCCGCTAGTAACTAAACTGTCTTTTACATGCAAAGTCCCCCTTCTGTCAACAACCCGTCACCCAACATATTCGCCTCGTAACGTGGTTGTAAACCAAAAATTAACTGATCCAATTTTAAATCTTGTTGTGAACTCGCAAAATTGTAGTAAGTATTTTTTACGCAAAGTGCTAGGAATATCGTAATTCTTACTATGAACTGTCAGGACTGCAAAACACAGGAACAACCCAATCAGCAGCATTTTTTCTGTGGGTTTATGCATAACTAGTTTCATCTCCTGAAAAAGAGAACAATAAACCATAACAAAGTTGTATGAAATTAGGTATTTATCTTTGATATTCACCAAAATAATGATGATGATGATGATGATAATAATGCAAATGATAACAATAAGCTAACAAGGTTGGATCCAACTGGAAAACTTCACCGAAATTCAGGGTTTTCATTCGATATCTGTATTATTGTTATTTGCCATCCGGTTCTTTTAACTCTATCACGTTTTACGCTTTTCTATTCTCGGCTACGCAAAAATGTATTTGTCTCCCGCCCCGGGCTCTTATGCCGCAGAATTCTAACAACATAATGCAATGCTTGCTCCGAGTCTGTCTGCTTTGGGCATATCTACTCCTTCTATTTTACTTATTTACTTACTGTTTTTTTTTCCTGGGAGTTCCTTGTATAGTTAATTGCCAGTGACGACTTAATACATCTTCTTAATTGCAATACAATTCAATTGCTTGAATGATTCACGTATCTTTATTTTATATATATATATTCCAAGAGCAGACTACTCGGGACCAGCTATTTTAGAGTGGAAAATTTTTGACCTCATGGACCTGGAAGAGGCTTTAGATTTTCGCTTAGATGTGCACACCAAATTTGCACCAATTTATACAGAACGATAATTTTATAGCGGAACTCCATGCGCGCGAAGCACGCGCGAGCGGAGTCCCATAGCTAAGTAAATCTACCCATCCCAGAAAATTTGGTAATCTAGTGACCGTACACCGCCCTCTCGCCCGTCCTTCCGAACCACAGGGGAACCAATGTTCAATCCCACACTTTCTAGCTAGTTTGGGAGAACAGAAAAACTGATATTGCACAAATATTGCACAGCAATATTGTGATCAATTGACAGCTGTCAAAACAGGATATTCACTGACCAGTATCACCTGACCGTATTGTGGGCTCGGGTGTCGACCCGTTAAGCTTTCCGTTATTAGTTAGTTTTCAAATGATCGCAGGCCCAAGTTTATTTTTTTTAATTCATATGAATTGTGTTTATCTGCAGCAGAATTAAAATTTTGAATTCAAACTGACCTCTTTACTGTCTTTTTCCACTGGATGTACAAAACGAAATTCAGCTGCTATGAAGAGTCTTCTGTTATTTATGGCTAATTTGTTTATTGGATTTTTGGTTGGGAAAGTCGCTTGTCAAAGTCGGAAATCCGATTTCGGATGGCATCGTTTTCGTTTTTAACCTTGCTTGATGCGTAAGGTGAGTGAGTTAAAAAGTCCGAAGGCGATTCTGGCCTTACTTGATAGCTTTCAGGAGCTGAATCTCGAATGGTAAGCCTGAGTAATTGTCGTATTTGATATCTGTTTTTTTGTATCTAATTTAATGAGGTCGAGGGTAGTTTGTGCGACTATTTGGTCTATGCACGTTTATAAGATTTGAAACAATGATCTGACCTAGTATCAGGTTTGATATAAGCTTACAGAAATATAAAAAGCGTTTAGACATTTTCTTACCGCAAATAGAAAGAAAACGTTCCAAAGAATATTTTGTCATAATTCTGGCTGTAAAAGGAAGCTTTGAGCGATTTTGCTTCCTCGAGTTCATCTGTGAAAATAGCTTGCAAACACCGGGAAGCAAGCTTAAAACATGAACTAAAGCTTTAAGACTCAGGAATTTTAGAGACACTTTAATTGAATTCGTAAATGAAAATTGTTTTTTTCTGTATATGTTTTACCGAGTTATATTTCTTTTATTGATTGTTAGTAGTCTCTCTTGGAACTTTAACCGCTGTGCCGTTTGTTTTCAGTCGTTCATGAACATCACTTGCAGGAGTACTCAAAATGCCGCGCGTATCAAACGCTTTTAAAGATTACACATCGTTCTAAAACCATTAAATAAAAAATAGAAATAAAAAATTATTTACTATGTAGAAGCGTAACTCTATTTATCTTCATTCAAACACTCAGCTCTCATTGCAAATTTGGCGCTAGTAAAAAGTGAGAACCGGATGGCCGTATAGGTTATTTTGGAAATTTTTTTTAACGGTTTCATTAAACGCCCACGCGTGCTTCGATCGTCCTGAATATAAATGAGTGCAATTTGTATTGCAAAATTGAGAACTACTGCATTCTGTCCGAGGTCTGTATGATAAAAAGAGCGCCTCATAGTACTGTTTCACCTCAGATGTGATGTATGAAAAGTATAAAAAAGGTTGGTTTACAAGCACCCAGATTTGTTGGCAACATTTTGTAAAGTCTAAAACTTGTCGAACGCCAAAAATTCGGCCTGATTTGTTTTCCAGGCCTAATCTACTGTGATCAAGAGCTATTATGGCTCTTAAATGTGATCGAAGATAATTACTATTTTTTCGGTGTACATATAAGGCTATCAAATCGATATAAGATTTGGTTCACTCTTGTTTGCAAATTATTTTGCTCTAATATCACTTAGCCTTTCCCTCAAAAGTCACATGAATGTGCTCTAAAGTTAACTGATTTGTGGAGTACAAGTTTATTGTTTGATTTAAATGATAAACTTATTAATGGGAGCTTCGCTTTTGACCTTGGATAAATCTATATATTACTCATCAATTCTAATTCTGGGCTAATACATGACTGGTCTGAGTATTGCGCAAGTTAAGAAATCTGTCAGTCATTTCAGAACTGTAGGGAGCCTGTGCGAAGTGACGTTTGGTTTTTGACTGTGCGCCGTGATTTGAAAATGCAGAAGGAGTTACTCTGATCATTACATATCTGTTTGAGCCATTTCCTTTTATCTGGAGAAATATAAATAAAAGCAGTTCCGCCATCCTTCAGTTCTGATAATCGAGAACAGTAAAAATTAGGTCGCTCCTATGTACTAAACGTTAAACAGTGATCGGTCGTGTTGTCGGACTACACTTTACCTCGTTAATCGCTTTCAAGTTCTGTCATCCGAGTCAACGAAAATCAAGCAATTTCAATCAGGTTTGTAGAAGAGCTAAATATTTCTAAGGGACAGTTTTCAAATCTTTCATATTTGATACTACTACATGAGAAATTTCTGCAATTTGATTGGCTTAGAGCAGTGGTATTTCAGCTTAATTTGAAATACTTACATGTGAAAATTATAAACCTTTTGTGGGTAGTAGTATAAACGAATAATAGCATGATTTGTACGTGATATTCGGCAGAAATACCAATAAATACCTCTTGTGATATTTCAAAATTGTCTCAAAGTTCACTCGCCTAACGGCTCGTGAAATTACGTATAACAATTTCGAAATATCACTCGTGGTATTTATGCCAAATATCACTACAAATCATGCTATTACCTATACAAATAGGTGTACTGACTGTTAACTTCTAACTGAGTAGTTTATTCAGTCGTCCAAAAGTTAAAACTGTGCACTCTATCCAATTCCTCCCTGTGCGTAATAAAATAAAAACAGAGATGCGGAAGCTAAAGCAAAGATTCTAACGAAAGCCTTATATTTTTGGCAAAGCGTCCAAAGGTGTTGTGGAAAGTGATCCAGCCCCAGCCCTATATCCGTACCTTACCTAGAACAAATGAATCGACACCTTATTTCGATCTACCCTGGAGTGGAATCTTTTTAACTTACTTACTCTGGGGGAAATTAATACTGATTATATATGGTGAATGAAGAAAGGTAAGTTGTACAAGGTAAATTTTCTAGCTCGAGTAATTAAGAACATGAACAACTTGCAATACTTTACCTGACAGAGCCACTCGTACTTCTGCCAATGGTCACTGTTGGGCACTGATATAAAGTGAGCGATGTCTTCGCCTATGCGCGTCTTTTTATTTCAGTATAGTGGGGGTAGTGTGATAAAACAAATTAAATAGCAAACACAATATCAACACGTTTTTGTTGTCAGTTGAGAAAAGGGTTTAGTTCAATATCTGAAATATCGGTTATTGCCTTAAAAAAATCTTCAAAGAACAGAAAGCACAAAAGATTTCGCCATCTCTCTCGTTGGCTCGTCAAAAACAAACATACTGTTAATTATTTAAAATGTTTTAAGCATTGAGTGGCAGAAGCCGGGCTCGTCTTAATTTCGTGGTGCTAAAAAAGCACCTTTTCGATCCTAGTTATTAGTAGCAGCTAGTTTCAATAACTCCTGATTGGCTGCTTGAAAAACGATTTCTGAAGAGAGAAAGATTGTGATTTGATAGCGGTGCTCTTAACCAATTACCCTGCGAACAGAGGCCCTTTGATCTTTCTAGATAAGTCGCGACTTATCTAGGAGGATCGGAAGGGCCTCTGCTCGCAGGGTATTAACCAGTATATTAGCGTTCGAGCTCTATGCACGGCGTAGCATTCAGAGTGCTCATGATATTATGATCACGGTACTAACTGACGAGCTCTTTTGGTTTGTCTAGATATCTTGTCAATAAACAGGTTAATAGCTACATTAGAACTAATTTTGGGTGAAAACATCAACTCCTCCTTGAATTTTTTGTTGTAAGTACAGGTCAACAAACAGCGCTGTTCAACATTTTTTTAAAAAATACCGCTAGTCTTTTATCATGAAACTTCCGAGAGATCCTTAAAGCACTTG